CATCCATAATTATTACAAATGTCAATATAACGAAATACCTTTTATGCGATGTTTGTGGTGTAATAAAAATCTGTGTTTCGATTACGTTTGTGATACAATTTTATTAGAATAAAAATATACCATTAGTCCGATATTTGAAAATATACACGCGTTCGTTGTCACTGTTAAACTGTTGTAATAACAATGGAATAATAAAATAATTTACTCAAATTACATAATAATACACATACATATTCATAAAAACAATATTAAACGCAATAACTTTTTTGTACGCGAAAAAAAACCAATCGGTCCGTCGGGACTGGAACCGAAGACTCCTTTTTATACGTTTACAACTTAAGGCAGAAATCATAATACGCTTTAGTGATTCCGCAGATCACCAGCTTCATCAGGCGCTAGCCGAGGTCCAGCTTGGCGACAAAAAGCCCAGCCAACTACTTCGCCAGCTAAGGACGCTGGCCGGTGCACGTGCCTCAGAGGATGTTCTGCGTGTGAGATGGCTGGCACTGCTTCCACCAGCGATCGTGAGGTGCCTTAAAATTCTCCGTGCTGCCTCACTCAACGAGCAGGCCCAGGTCGCAGATGCGCTGATGGAGAGCCAGACGGGTCCATTCGTCATGGCCACTCAGGCACCCACGAGCCGCACTGCGCCATCTAACGAGAGGTTCACCGACACCGCCCTCACCAGCCTGGCTCACGATGTTGCCGCCATGAAGCTTGCCCTGGCCGAGCTCACCACACAAGTCAGGGAGCTCACACGGACGATGAAGCGTAACCATACGTATGGCCACCAGCGTGGTCGCAGCGGCCAGCGCTCCTGCTCGAGGGAACCCTCGCCTTCACCAGCTCGGAACTGTTTTTACCATCGGAAGTTCGGTGCCGATGCGCTTAATTGCGTGCCACCATGTACTTTTATCAAAAACCAGGAAAACTAACAGTGCTGTCGACAGTTCAGGCGGCCGGCGACAGCAGCGCCTCCAGCGCACCACCGACGAAGGAGCACCGTCTCCATGTACGAGACCGCACGACGAACATGAAGTTCCTCGTCGATTCAGGCTCCGTCATTTCGCTGGTGCCCAAGTCCGCCATCCGTCATCCCCTCAAACAGGATGACTTTGTCCTTTACGCTGCCAACGGGACAATCATACACACATACGGCCAGAAATTTCTCACCCTCAATCTCAGTCTCCGTCGAGCCTTTAACTGGTCTTTTATTATTGCAAATGTGAAGTCAGCCATCATCGGTGCAGATTTCCTGGTCTACCACGCACTGCTGTTGGACCTCAAGGGCCGCTGCCTCATTGACTCCAGAACTTCACTCACTACAAGGGGTCAACTCTGCGAGGCGCCTATCCACAGCATCTCCACCATCGACCGGGTAATCTGTCCCGGTGCTGGCAACGCACCCTACTTGGAGCTGCTCCACAGCTTCATCGACATCACTCACCCCATCGAGACCAGAGGACCCCCTGTATTCGAACGTCCACGCCGCCTCACAGGCGAAAAACTCAAGGTCGCCAGGGAGGATTTCAGTCTCCTGCTGCATCACGGCGTTATAGGGCCGTCGAACAGTCAATGGGCCAGTCCCATACACATGGTTCCCAAGAAACTGGGCGGCTGGCGCACCACTGGGGACTACAGAAAGCTCAATTCTAACACTGTTTCTGACCGGTATACTGTTCCCCACGGGGATGATCTCCTCCAACGCCTACACGGGTCAACCGTGTTTACAACTATCGACCTGGTACGGGCCTACCACCAAATATCTGCGGCTCAGGAAGACATCTCAAAAACGGCCGTGACGACACCATTTGGGCTTTTCGAGTTTCTTGGCATGCCACCTGGTTTGCGAAACGCCACGCAGACATTCCAACGCCATATGGACAACTTGTTTCGAGGTCTGGACTTCGTGGGCTGTTTTATAGACGATCTGATCATTTACTCCAGCTCTCACGAAGAGCACCACAAACACCTAACCACCGTCTTCGAGATCCTGAGAGCCAACCGGCTCACCATCAACCCAAAGAAATGCCAGTTCGGCAGGTCTGAGGTCTATCTTGGATTCACTGTTAACAGGGATGGGTACACACCCCCAGCGGAGCGCGTACGAGCCATAGCAGATTTCCCGAAACCAGAAACTGTCAGCGACTTGCGACGCTTCCTGGGAATGATCAACTACTACCGCAGATCAATTCCGGGAGCAGCACAGATACAGGCACCACTCACCGCCTTCCTCAAAAATGCGAAGAAGAGGGACAAGAGGAAGATCCAATGGTCACCATCCGCTGAAGAGGCCCTGGAAGCCTGCAAGCGCGGTGTCATAGCAGCCACCAGGACAACCTTCCTTGCACCAGCCGCCAGTCTTTCACTGAAGACCGATGCCTCAGACTCTGCCATCGGGGCTGCGCTGGAACAACTCCAAGGAGACGTCTGGCAGCCAATAGCCTTTTTCTCGCGGAAGCTAAGTCCAGCAGAAACTCGCTACAGTACGTACGACCGTGAACTCCTTGCCATTTTTGCTTCAATCAGATTCTTTAGGCACATTCTAGAGGGCCGGAGATTTATTATTCAAACAGACCACAAACCCATCGTTTACGCATTCTCCCAACGTGCCGACAAAGCATCGCCACGACAACTACGTCAGCTGGACTATATCTCCCAGTTTTCCACTGAGATCGTCCATACGAAGGGTGAGGAGAATGTCGTGGCTGACGCTTTGTCAAGGATGAACACCATCAGCATGCCCACCAGACTCGACACAGAGGCCATTGCCGCAGCGCAACAGGGTGATGACGAGTTACTCGCACTGCAACAGAACTCGTCGCTCAATTTGCATCGCCTCAACATTGAGGGCCATGTAATATTTTGTGACATTTCTGGTGGTGTTGTCAGACCATATATACCAGCCAGCCTCAGACAGGATGCATTCAACACATTCGATGGACTTTCGCATCCCAGTGGAAGAGCCACTGCCAAGCAGTTGAGAGAGAAATTCGTCTGGCCAGGTATCAAAAGGGACGCACTCCGCTGGGCTAGGCAATGCATTCCGTGCCAGCGTTCGAAAGTGCACCGCCACAATCGCACCTCGCCAATGCACATTGAAGTGCCAAACAACAGATTCGATCACATCCACCTCGACCTCATTGAGCTGCCAAAGGTTGAAGAATTGCGATACTGTCTGACCATTATTGACAGGGTCAGCAGATGGCCAACTGCCATCCCGCTCACCAACATGTCAGCCGACACAGTTGCAACCGCGTTCTACACGCACTGGATATCACAATTTGGCACACCGCTCACCATTACCACTGACCAAGGCCTCCAGTTCGAATCGGCACTTTTCAACTCGCTCTCACGATTGCTTGGCATTCAACGGATAAGAACAACACCATATCATCCTCAGTCCAATGGCCTAGTGGAAAGATGGCACCGGACGCTCAAGGCCGCGCTGATGTGTAACGCGCAAACGCCATGGCCGAAACTCCTGCCAACAGTCCTACTCGGACTGCGCACTGCGTACAAAGAAGATCTGAAAGCCTCTCCAGCTGAGATGCTTTTCGGAGCACCGCTCCGCATTCCGGGTGAATTCTTTGTTTCAGAGAGTATTCCAGCGGATCCTCAGGTCTTTGTCAGACAACTCCGGCAGCACATCCAGACGGTACGGCCAACCCCGACTGCTCACCATACTAAGGCAAGGTGCCTCCTCCTTAAAGATCTCGACACCTGCACCCACGTCTTTAAAAGGGTCGACTCTATAAGGAAACGGTTGGAGCAACCGTATACGGGTCCACATGAAATCGTTAAACGCATTAACAACAAGCTGTTCATCATCAAAATAAAAGAGGCAGAAAAGACAGCCTCGGTAGGCATGCTCAAACCTGCCTACATCGATGTCACCGACAACCAGCATCCCGTAGACCAGCCTCTGATCGACGCCAACACTACTACTGAAAACACGTTTCGTTCCCTGCTCTTCTAGATCAAGTCACTGGGAGGGGAGTGGATGTGGCGTCCCAGCCACGGCTTTCGACACCGCAAGCTAGCAGTCACTCTAACTTGCCGACGCAGCGCCTCCAGCCGCAATTACCATCCACCACGCGGCGTGCGAGTCCGCCGAGCGGACCGACGCGCCACCTGAGAAAACAGACGCACACACCACGCTTGGTTTTCTGATCTCTCTCTCATGCGACAACGTTTCAAGAGTCCACACGTGTAGCGCTCGGCAGTAGAACATTCGAATACCACGCGTATTTTTCTCGTCAATCAGTTACTTGTTGTAAACCCTGTTGTGTTAATAAATAAGGTGAAAATTGCATCCAATCGAGTCCGTTCATTTATAACTAGAATTCATTAATTCATTTCAGTTCACTTCGCGGCTCTCTAGTGCCTACCGAGTGTAATCGGATTTTCGTGAGACATTGTTAAGACTCTCAATAATAAACTGTTCCGGCCAAGCTCCGGTGTGTTTTTTCGCTGCAACACCACCTTCACTTCGTATCCTTTTCAGGATAGAACTAGCTACCCTAGGGCGGTCGGTTCAATCTAATGAACGACGCGGCCTGCGATAAACTCGCATCACAAACAATATCAAGTATTGGACTAAATTGGCCTTTGGGAGTTTGGCTGACAGGGAATGTTTTTGTTTTCATAAAGTTTAACTGTATAGTATTGTGAGAGTATACTGTAAAAATTTGAAAAGGAGATTCTTAAAGGTAAAGATTCTACAGCCATAAGTTGGAGGGACGGTCGGATCAGTTAGTGTATTTTCAGTACCAGGCAAAAAACGAAGAATACAGGGTGGCGCAAAAGTTCGGAGACATTTTTAAAATGCATTTTTCACCTTTCATTAATGACTTATCCAAAATTTTCTTCGGTTTTCTGAATTCATCATACAATTTTAGGTTAGAAAGTGCTTTTCAATTGTTTGTTTATATTTGGTTACCTTCCAAATGGATCGAAATAACAAGCGCGTTAGTATCATTGAGTTGCACAAATCGGGAATGAAGACTGCCGAGATTGTTAAAACGACTCGCTTCAAGAAATCTACGGTCTACGAGGCAGTGAAACGTTTCCAGGAGTTGGGAGGAACATCGGATCGTTCTAGATGTGGTCGTCCTACCACCGCAACAACACGGAACAATGTGAACAAGGTTAGGTGCAGGATCCGTCGCAATCCGGAACGTTCGATGCAAAAAATGGCAAAAGAGATCGAGATCAGCAAGGACAGCGTTCGTAGGATTGTTCAGAACAAGCTGAAGATGCGCAGTTACAAAATTGATCGGGCACACTTCCTCAATGATGATATGGAACGAAAAAACAACTGGAAAAAGCGCGTCGAATACTTCGGCTGATCGCCGGTGGTTGCCTCCAAAAAGTTATTTTTACTGACGAGAAGATTTTCACTATCGAGGATGCGCACAATCGTCAAAATCGCCGTCAGTTGCTCAAAAAAGGTCAGAAGAAGTCTGCTACTGCAAAAGTAGTTAGTCGCAGCCATTTTCCGGCATCAGTGATGGTATGGGCTGGTATTTGCGGAACTGAAAAGACGCCACTGATATTTATCGAAAGGAATGTCAAAATCAAAGCCCCCATCTATCAGCAAATTGTTCTTCGGGATGTTTTGGAGCCGTGGGCGACTGAACATTTCGGTGAAAACGGATTCACGTTGCAGCAAGACTGGGCTCCGGCTCATTCAGCACAGTCAACGATCGCAACGTGCAAGGAGTTGTTTCCTGGATTTTGGGGCAAAGACGTTTGGCCCTCAAATTCACCGGACTTGAACCCGATGGACTATTCCGTGTGCTTCATTTTGGAGCAAAAGATTTCCCGAACCCGATAGAAATCGGCAAATGACCTGAAGGTGGCTTTGAGGCGCGCGTGGGACGAAATTACCGTGAAACAGTGTATGACCATCGTCGGCAATTTCCGAAAACGCCTTCGAAAATGCATTGAGGTCAAAGGAGCCAATTTTGAACATCTATTGTAAATTTAATTGTTTAATGTTATTATTACTTATTTAATAAAAGTTATTAACCGGTTAAAGATATTGAATTTTAATTTATATGGCAGTTATATACTGCTAAAGTATTTTAAAAAAGTCTCCGAACTTTTGCGCCACCCTGTACACACACAAACCTGCTCTAGAAGATGTTCATCACATAATAAGACTAATATTTGAAAGTATGACTGAAGAGGAATTATTGAAACGATGTTTAGGGTGAAATATTTAAATGAATAACGAAAGATACAATTGTAGTTTGTGGCAGTTCACGCCTAAACATATTTTCAATGGTAGAAGTGTGATAGACATTGCCCCTGGGCGTCAATTTGTATTTTTAACGACTGATGCTCCACGTTAATGAAAATTTTGTTTGTAATGGGAGTCAATGCCTGTCCCTGTGTACTTCCTTACGCCAAGAAGTGCGACGAAGAGCGTATCAAGCAAGCAAGGCGGGTGAGTACTGCAGCGTCGAAAGAAGCTCGCACTCAAAAATAAAAAAAAGGAAAAATCGGACTTACAGCAGCAAATTCAGAAAGTCGAAGAAGTACTGTATGGAGCACGAATCGCTGATTAAATAGTATTGCCATGATTTTAACTTCGTATGTATAAGAATCTAAACAAAACTTTAAACCCGTTTTTCTCGAAACTTGTTTTTTTCGAATGGTGTGCACGATTTAGGAAAAACTATTTGACTGATTTCGACTTGATTCGTAATTACATTCTTTATGGTATGACTTACGGTGAATAGGTTTGGTTCTCGCAATTCTCTTTTATTTAGCTTTTTTGACGAAGGAAAATACCATAGTTCGGTCAATTTTTTTCAAACATACATCAATTATCGAATTTTCAATATTTTGTATTTATCGTAGGTCATACCAGAGCCATTCACATATATTTAAAGAAAAAGTTTGCATTTTTAATTTCAGATGACCGTATTTCCAGATTTTACGTACAGAACTTCGACCTCTGTTTTTCAAAACGTTACCTGCCTTGCGGTTTATTTAAGGCTACGTGGACAAAACCACCGAAAACAAATTTTTTTATTATTTTAAGATGTGTACTAATAAATACCAGCAAGAATTTTTAGTCTAAGTGTTATAGATTTCTTTTTTTTTAAATCCAGAAGAATACGGTATTTTCGCGCGTTTTTCACGAAAATGTACTCTTAACAAATTTCTGATTATTTTAACGCATTCTATTAACCAGTAGGTATAATTTCTACCAAAAGTTCACAAAACACTTTGTATTTTCTACTGACTGTTTTTCATTTTCACGAAATTTCGTCTTCTTTGTTGTTCTCCCTTGAAGTCTCAAACCTTTTACAATTTAACTAAGCATCTCTTAGCTTGACTCACATTTACCTGGCGAGGTAAAAATTAAGGGAAGAGATAGACTCCAAACCTTCTCAAAACGTAACTAATTAAGCAACACAAAAAATGAGACACAATTACCCACTGTATTATCCGACACACTTCATACGTATGTTATACTTTACATATTTAATTGAACAGTACATAGTACATACAGTTTTACAGTAAAAATGAATATTTTCAAAGTTATAAAGAATTTTTTGTTTCGGTTAAAGGGACGGACTTTCTCACTTCGGGAACTATTGTACCGTGTGGAAACAATGTATTACCTTATCAGTTCTTCTTTTCCTGGTTCCAGAAGGTTTTCTACAATTTTTATTGTTTCTTTTTTACAATTTTCTTCATTATATCCCTACTACACGATAGTTTCCGAAGCGAGAATGTCACTCGCTTCAACCGAAACAAAAAACTGAAATACTTCGAATATATATGAATTTTTCGACACATGTTTATTAAAACTTTTTTCATCATTTAGCGAGTATTATCTGCCCTAGAAGTTATGAACTCCTATTTTTCATCATCCTGTATTGGTATAAACGTTGATTAATGTACTATAGATCTGGAGGTATTAAAGTCAAAAGTTATACAGGGTTTATTTAAAGAAGTATTATTATTCTTGGAAGTGGTAGGAAAATGAACGCAGGTTATTTCGCAAAAGATTAGTTCGATCTGTGCATAAGCGGTTCAAATTTTTAGTAAGATCACGAGGATAGCCAACAAAGTATTAATTTACTATAAATCTGTTTGAATAAAATAATCAGTGATTCTGGGCCGATATATTTAAATAAACTATGTAGAATTTCTCAATAAAATACATTTCAATCCTAAGTATTTAAACGTTTATACTAAAGCAAAGTATAACCAGTATTAGCTGTCTTTAAAATTGATTAAGTGTATAAAATATTTTATACGTATGTAATAGACGAATACTTGTGTGGGTAACTGTATATCACTACTGCATAAAGTTACAGAAAATTTTCGTTTATAACAATCGTTAATTTATTCTCGTATTCTCTTTGTTCATATGATTACTCCCCTCGAAGTCAATATGTAAGGATAGCGTTGCTTGGCAGACCAACGCACTCGTCGAAATATACAGAAATGTCTTGATAAGTGTGAGCCGGCTTGCCTACGATAAGTGTGAAGTCGTCATCCCCACCACTGGGGAGGGGGACCGTGGAACCAGTCAAGCGAATAAGTTTTTGCACGGTGCTCCGCGGCGGCTTCCCTTTCACGAGCCGACGGCTGAACGAGGGGCACAAATGCAATGATGAAACTTTTTGTTTTTGGTTCTTTGTTAACGAAACTTTTATGAACATGTTCGTGAGAATTTTATGATTAAAATGATACCAAACACGATATAATTTGGACCATATTTACGTATGATTTATCAGAAGCGATAATGAACGAATATGAACTGCTAACACTTTCTATATGAGTAAATATGATCCAAAGTATGTCGTATTTGGTATCATTTTAATCAGAAAATTTTTACCAATATACTAGTAAAAGTTTCATTAACAACGAATTAAAAATAAAAAAGTTTCATCATTGCATTAGCGTTGTATCGCCGATACCCGGGAATGTAATCTTTCATTGGCCGAAACGGTACACACACAATTGGACTGTATGACGAAGAGGATGAACGAGACACATCGAGACCGAGTAAGATAACGCGAACCGCAGCGATTGCAATGTAACTATTGGCCGGTGGAAGCGTCGCAGGCGGGCTTACGTAGTCGAATCGAGTGGAAAGAGATGCTTTCCCTTTCTGTTTTTCACTCGCTTGTCCTTTTCTATGTCGGAACACAGAAAGGCAAGCGACCGAGGCTCGAGCTTCGAGCAAAAAACTGATTGAGGAGCTGACAACTGTCTACGCTCATCGGGATTGTGACTCCGCGGAACCGAGGCATTCACACTTATCAAGACATTTCTGTACTTGGGTTTAGTTATTGCAACCATACATTTCTAAAACTGAAAACTTTTTTAATATGCGTATATGGTATAAAATGCAATGGGACATCACGAAGAAATGACTGTCGCATCAATTACAAATTGTCTGTATATTTGACTTTACTAATAATAATGATAGTAGTAATCTTAATAATTATAATCATAATATACCGCATGATGATGGTCATAATGACATACGGGACAGCATATAAATCATAACAATAATGCAATCATAAACTACAGCAATAATAATTATTATAATATTAAGAAACCATCACTACCATCTTTGGGAAACAATTGTGCAAGACACGATCCAAGTAAAGAGAATGAATGGAACGTAAGATGTAAGCCAAAAAAGAGAAACCGAGAATTACGAAGAGAATATGAGAAGTTCTTGCACAAAAAAAATTAACTCGCGAATCTGTTTAAGGTAGTAATTAGTATTACTGTTTTATAATATTAGAACTCCTGTCATTCGTAAATAACCTTCCATACATGTAGCCCATTCGTCGAGAATTCTCCCTCTCGTTTATTCACACACGCGCGCGGCGCACTGAAGCTCACTCCTTGATCCACGCTGTCATCCTCGTGTTCAGCACAATAGAAATAGTTTTTTTTCTCATTCAAAAAAACAGTCTTTCGTTGCACCTGTTTCCTCTTGAACGTCCTCCTCTTTGAAACCTACTTGATACAAATATATTTTTATTGTGCCTCATCACACAAATTATGGCGAATAACCATTGCAAAATAACCGTCTTTGCTTTGGAAACGATTTTATAAATTTTCAAGTAGAAAGCTCGAAAATGCATGCTCACGAACGCACGAGCATGTATCACATACCCACGTCATGTATTTATATACAACTGAATAAATGGATGCACAAAATCACGTATTTATTTAAAAAAATCCGAAAATCGCTCTCGATAATATATTATTGCTATATAAATCCCATACTTCTTCCATTTGTTAATATCATTTGTAGTATTAGGTGTACAAATTAATTCGGTAACTTTCGTCGAACCTGTTACACTTCCCTTTTAAATTTGAATATTTTTCCGGTCGTTATGCGATATTCAAATGTCAACCCGAATCGTTTCCAAAATTACACATGCTTTGACGAAACACATGAAATTGTAGCAAACACGATGGCACCCGAAAAGCTTGTATAAAACACTTCATTCTTTTCTGTATGTCAATTAAAAATGAACACAACGCAAAACCATTATCTCCTTTTCGAGAGGGTATTCGTCAGTTGTCCCGCAAATGGGTCAGTCGCCTAAAATAATGAAAATTATTTCGAACCTTAAAACGGTGTTTGATTTGTTATGAGTAAACATTGATTTTTATGAGAAAAATGCCCCGAATTAATTTGTACGCCTAATAAAATGAAATGTACGTTGTGATTACAAAATTTTTATCCGAAGATTGCTCAAATTGCTTTCCACGCGTACCTTTCACGGTCGCACGAACTCTGGACACGAATTATATTCGTCTGTCGAATGTGATACAATAGTAGTTTGTATTTATTTTAAATGTACATCATACTGACACATATAGACTTTTAAAAAAATGTAATACAAATTCTATTACCATTACAATGCAAAATATCTGGAGAAATCTCGTTAGATTCCACATCGAACAGTTCAAACTAAGATCGGTTTTAGCCGAAAGTTCTGTGAAAACGTAAGTTTGTCGCTTAAACATAAATTACGTAACGATGTACATGTATATGGTGGTATTATATCGTTAAAGTATCAATCACTTGGAGCTCCGACAACCCTCATTCGAACACATTGTAATTTGTTCCTATGCTCTATTATAGTTACAAGTGTCGTAATTCAAATGTAATCAGTCATTAATGTCTATCAATCGACTGGAGTGTTCCATTGCGAATGAATTTCTTAAAGCTTCTTATACACAAAATTATAATTTCGCGAACGAATGATATATCAATTCGCGTACCAGCGAATGTATAAAAAGTAGGAAGAGGAAGACCATCCTTTTCCTGTGCGCATTGCCTTATTCAGTTACAAATTCTTTATAAAAGCCAAAGGCGCTTTCGCGATCGCCTATGTTAATCGTCAAGAATAAACGACGCCATGACTACACCAGTATAAGCATATATCGCAAAGTAGAGAGTGTAAAATAATTGTAGGATACTTATTTGTAGATACCTTAAAAATGAAAATGATATATTTTTTGTTCACCTTATCACTATACGTGTCAAAAAATGTTAATAAAAATCTATTGCAATAACGCATGATATCCGACACCAGACACTACATCGTCGTATCATCATCGCCATTATCTTGAATCGCAGGAATCAACATACATGTCGTTTTACTATTAAGAACTATACAAATAATAACATTAGTGGCTACTTCCCTTATCTTTAATTTTTTAGTTATACCACTTTTAGTTCACTGCTATTTCCTCAATGATCTGTCTTTAAAAAACAAACTTGTTCCACCGTTCAGAAGACTTTCCTGGCACAAACTTAGCGTGGCAATATACGTAATTCTAATTACAATTAACTGTATACATGAAGCAATTGCTTTTAAATAACACATTGAAATTACAACGAACTTGATAGAAAAGAAATATAGGTTTCAATTCAAGGTAATGTTAAAGAACATACTCTGTACACATGTCATTATTCTTGCTCTCATTCATGCGCGCGCGTCCTTCATTTCTTTCTTCATAGTTTCTTTTTCGGTGCAAAACACAAACATTCATTCACATAGCAATTTTGCTTGCGTATTTGCATATGAAGCTATCCAGACATTTTACGTAGTTTCAATTATCATAAAAAAGTTTAGCTACTTATTAAAAAGATATTTTGGAAGGTCTTCATGTTTATACAGATCAAAGCATCGATATTGCACAATTTCTTGCGACTACGACAATAGTATGGTATAATGATTCTGTTATTGACTAAATAATCTAGTGTCTACGTTTGGAAAAATTACTGTCTCGAATTCAAAACTTGAAATTGATACAACCCACCTGTAATTATTTTTATATGTTTGCCATTGAACGGTTCTTCTTAAAATTGACGGGCCTTCCATGGTATACGGTAATGTTTATTATGTTGTAAATACTGAAGTAACGGTGAAAATAATAATGAACCTTACAAAAGTGTAATTGAATTTTGTGCATACACTTCGTTCCTACTTACTTTCTTCTACGAAAAGGGACACTGGTATGAGGAAGGAACCATCTTTTCAAAAAATCTATGTGTTTCTTTTTCATATGCTAAGCCGTATTACGAAAGGTGTACGGTTAAGAAAGCACAGCAATTTCTTTACAAGAAAATTTACAAATGCTAGTGTCCCTTGAGTTCTCTGTAAAATTTGTCGAAGATTTTTCTGAGATTTGTCGTGGGTTTCATTCCTTTCGATTAATGTGCAATTACTCGAGTAAAACTGTTGATACTGATTGTAAGGATCTTGTTGTTCACAGAAATAATGATGGTTGTGATGGTGGTGGTATCGATGACGATGACGATGACGATGACGATGACGTTGTTGATACTGATTGTAAGGATCTTGTTGTTCACAGAAATAATGATGGTTGTGATGGTGGTGGTCTCGATGACGATGACGATGACGATGACGATGACGATGACGATGACGATGACGATGGTGATTATGGTGATTATGGTGATTATGGTGATGATGGTGATGATGGTGATGATGGTGATGATGGTGATGATGGTGATGTCGGGGTCGATGATGAAGACAATGACGGTGACGATGCCGATGCTGATGGCGATGCCGATGCCGGTGTCGATGATGGTGGTGATGATGACGATGATGACGATGATGACAACGACGATTATAATAAAAGTGAGAATAATATTGATCATTATGTTGCTGACTGTGTTGCAAACATTTCTTGTCTTCCATGGCGTTGCTTAATCTTGGTAGTGAAAAACGAGTTAACATGAATATCGAAAATGCACATCCTGATACATGTGGTAGATTTTGAGTCGTTATACGCGTTGATAATTTTAGGGCCAGATTTGGCCTCATTCGGGATCACCAGTTAGCCATGCCAGGTTTATTTAATGTCATGAAGTAAATCTGGCACGAACTTCCGCCTTTTGCTGACGAGAAAAATACCTGAAAAGGAAACCAAGATGGTGTATAAGAAAAAATACCCGCGCTAGAAAATATGCGACAAATTGTAACATGTTGCATACAAACCTTATCATTACGCTCGCAAAGGAACTTGAGCCGTTGAGCTTTCTTGTGCATGAATACACCATCGAGGTGTCCACTTTCTACGCTTCTAATTTCAATCGCCTTATTGCCCCAGCCCATAATTTGTCCTGTCCCTATGTAGGCTACACTCGTGGGCATTTCACCCCACTGAAGAACCATCGTTTTGGAAACTCTACCGTATGTGTTTACATATACACCTTCGTTATCGTAACACAACAGTAGCTGCATGCCATTACTATTAGGTAATGCGACAATGCAGTGTGGACAAATTGGTCCTTGAGTCTGCAATAAAAAAATATTGGTTCATACTAATATTTAAATTTCTATTGGCTTAATACCTTTCAGAAAATATAGTTAGACCATGAAAGAGTAAACAAAGACTTTTTGAATATTAAATATTTAAGTGTCTGAATTTTAATTAAATATGGTTAAACATAAAATTTCACTTAATGCACACGAGAATAAACGCAACCAGTTAGGTAGTAATTCGAAGGTCGTTACATATAAAATTTCCGTTATTTTTTGTTTTTAGGTAAAATTAAACAATTAATCGTTCTTACGTGTTTTGGCAAATAAATATCGTAAACTGTAGCGGAATCTAAGTCAACGGCATGAAAACCATCAGCGCTGCCATAAATAACTTTGAGTCTTGTGCCTTCCTCTATGGTAAGGTCGACAAGAAGCGGCCTATGCGCGAGTTCGCCAAACGATTTGAATGCCATGAATTTATGATAAGGCTTCGGCGCCCAAGCATAAATCTCAATGGAATCCTTCAGCGCGATAACGAGGAACTTTATTCTCTCGTATTTGACTATTTTGAAATGCACCGCCCCTTGAAGATCACCTACGTTGATCCAGCCATTGCGTCGTTCCACTTGCTGAAAAACAACAAACTTATTACATATATGTATTATTAGATGATGGAAAACGATCGTGCGGCTTTCTAGTACAAACTTCAGGCGATTATAACTTTCTTAACACACTGGTGGTCAGAAATGAAGATAGCTCGTTTTTGGGCGCGTGCATTATTTATTTATCACTTTCTACGTACCGGTATTTTCGTTAAACTCGAATATTACTGGCTTTGTTACAGAGGACACTTTCAGTTTGGTGTCTGAGTTCAATGGACAAATAAATACATCAAATTTTAGCAAAACTTTATCGACCCCTAATGTGTTATAAATATAATTATATTCAATCTCGTAATACTGTATAATGTCCTACAACTCTTTTTTTAACTATCAATCAACCTTCATTCGTTATTTACGGATTCCATTATTAAAAAATAATATAAATTTCGATGCAATGAAAACATTCATGAAATATAAAAGAAATGCACAAAAACTATAATATATTTTTAAAGAACACAAAGCTTACGTCGCTGTGTCCATCGGTTCGTAAAATCTTACTCTTCAGCCAGGACAGATAATATACTCGTACTCGATTCTTCTTCCCACTAATTGTAACCAAAATATTTTGACCCTCGAGGACCTCCATTTGTTGAAATCGTCTTCTGCTGATCAACTGGTATACTTTACCCTGACCACTTCTATCTAGCAGCATAAGGCCATTCTCGGTGCCAATTAGTAGATTTACTCCTGTGAAGATTTAAATACATGAAGAAATTACACCATGTGAAATATGTGCAAAAAGAATAAAGTTTTGTGACCCATACTTCAAAAGCTTTAAAAATTAGAAGAAGAAAAATACATTAATATTTTCTATGGTGCATGGTGATTGGGTGCTGTAAACGAACGGAAATAAAAAAGCATAATTGTCAAACTCATTGTCAAAACAAAGCCTTAACTTAAAGTAATAAAATTTAACCTAACAGTAATGATTTTTTCTTTTTTAACAACGCGTTAATGTGGCAGTTTTCACAATATGTGTATATTTTATTAGTTAGAAGCACTCTTTTAAATTAATATAAAACAAAACATCGTTTACTGCAAAAGTCCAACATTACTTTTCGGTCAACCCAACATAACATGTGACTGCCTGTATACAGGGTGTCCTAAAAAGATGGGACAATCCGCAATATAGATATTTCTCGTTCTAATACAATCTGAAGCATCAATTCCGAGATATGAGCAGTTAAACGAACTCGATTTAGCATTTAACGATCAGCTGAGCGGTGGGCCACACGCCTGGGGTACGCGCCGACACAGTCAAGAAGCAACGACCAGTGTCTGCGCGTACGTTTGAGTTCGTTTAACTTTTAACTGTTAATATGTATCAAGGCAGTTGTCACACGTTGGCCGATCTGATTAGTTACTGCGCGACCACGCAGTGCTTCCCGATACGTTGAAACGTTCAGCCGAATCGTCCGAAATCGGTGCTCCATGACCACAGTCGAACGTCAGCTGCGGAGGCTCAATCGACATTCACGAGTGGTGGAAATAATGTTCCTTTCAGCTAGTTGCGCGCATGGGGGTCTCGAGTTTCGAGCAATTAAAGGGTCTTTGCTGTATCTCGGAAGCGAAGCTACAGATTACGAAATGACAAAGCACTTTTTGATTTGTATTTGCATGAGGAATGTCCATGTTGCGGATCGTCCTATCTTTTTGGGATACCCTTATATCTGTACCCCAGAGCCAGAGTGTATTATAATGTATTAAGTCACACTTATCGAACTCTAGAGGCGGGCAAATCAAAAGTGCAAAAACCTTGTAACTTCGGAACCGTTTGGTAAGAATTCAACGGGAAACACTCGTTACCTTCGAATTATCGACTGTACTCAAGCGGGTATTCCCATTCAGGTCCGTCAATTTTAGACGATTTATAAGATGGAAAGTGCTGAGGTTATTGTAGGTCAAGGGTTTTAAAATTTTTTATACATGTTTGGTTATATTTCAAGATAATACACTATAATTTTTATGCAATTATCTTTATGTTATTTAAATTATTGTATGATTCCCGCAGTATCTCAGTTTTCATGGCTGCTACGATTTAAATTATTGTATCGAACTGGAAAAGAATCCAGAATGATCTTAATCTACATAAAAGTGGTTATTTTGTGCTTTAGAATTATATCAATACTGACTATAGTTTTTCTTTTGTTGTTGGAAAAAGTTTAAATTTTACTGGATTTCTGCTTTATACGCCTGCCATTATGTTAAAAAATTCTTTTTCTATACCATTCTAATTCACAAGATAACCACTTTCATATAGATTAAGATCATCCTTGATTTTTTTTCAGTTCCATACAATAATTTAAATCGTGGCAGCCATAAAAACTGATATATTGCGGGAATCATACAAGAATTTAAATAATAACACATTTGTTAATATAAATTGTTATATTAAATAATAACACACTTGCATAAAAATTATACTGTCTTATCTTGAAATATAACCAAACATGCGTACAAACTTTTAAAATCTGCGACCTATAATAACCTAAGCACTTTTCATCTCATAACTCGTCTAAAATTGACGGCTCTGAATGAGAAAACCCCTTAAGAAACAAGTCTCGATATGTATTGGGTCATTAACACTAGGTTTACGGGCACTTATCGTGTAGGTATCTCCACGGCACGCATCAACGAACCCGCAGATTTTCTTGAAAAAACAACTTACTTTATATAATACACAATTTATGATCTCTGAAATTAATGCATAGCTATAGAGATAGGTATACCACATAGAGAATTTCGAGGTTAGAAAGCATTCGAAATGCGTCAAAATGACGCGTCCCGTAAACCTAGTGTTAAGGGGGGATACTCCGTGGACCGTGACCTGTTTTATAACTTAAACATCATCTATGCCTAATAAACAAAATGAATCAACTTAAAACATACAAAATCAAAGAAGTATACATATCGGGCTTTAACTAATTTTTTTACAAAATTGGTCACGCTATTTGTTAATATCTCGTACAGGTACCCCAAATTAAAAAAAAGTTCATCGCTCTACGTCAATTGGTTGTAGAGAAAACCTGAAACTTTACAAGAACTTCGACGTTTCCTTGGCACAATTAATTTTTACCGTCGATTTATTAAAGATGCAGCTGCAACTCAAACACCACTAAACGCTCTACTAATTGGTGCAAAGAAGAAAGATAAAAGACCAATAGAATGGAATCCTAATGCATTGAACACCATCGAACTTTGTAAATCACAACTAGCAGATGCAACTTTACTCGCACATACTGCTGACAACGTTTCTTTATAAATTCGGTCAAGAAGGTAACTGGTCACCTCTAAGATTTTACTCTAAAAAATTAAACGATGCTCAAAAAAAGTATAGCACTTATGATCGAGAATTATTAGCGATCTACAGTGCTGTAAAATTTTTCAAACATTTGATAGAAGGACCTCAATTACTAATTCGAACTGACCATAAACCTTTAAGATTTGCATTCAACCACAAATCATCAAAAGCTACACCTCGACAATTTAGACATATTACTAATTCGAACTGACCATAAACCTTTAAGATTTGCATTCAACCACAAATCATCAAAAGCTTCACCTCGACAATTTAGACATCTCGCCTCGATTTTATAAGTCAATTTATAACTAACATCGTTCATATTAATGGCACTGACAATTTTATTGCTGATACTCTTTCACAAGTAGAAGCTGTCGAAATGCCAGCAATAGTTACTACAAAAGAACTCGTACAAGAACACACGGACGAGGAATTAAAAAATTTATTGAAAAAAACCGACACTTCACTCAAGCTTCGAGAACTTCGGTTTGACAACACGGACACTATACTACACTGTGACATCTCAGGTAATAATGTTCGTCCTAATGTACCATCTAGATTAAGAAAGAAAATTTTCTACAATGTCCATAATCTATCGCATCCAAGCGGAAAAACATCATTGAAGATTATTTTGAAACAATTTGTTTGGCCATTAATTAAAAAAGATATTAAAAATTGGGCACGGTCATGTTTTCAATGTCAAAGAAGCAAAGTTTACAGACATGTTAAAAATATTCCAGCTCACATTCCAATCCCAAATTCACGTTTTGAACATGTACACCTAGATATAGTAGGTCCTCTTCCGTTGTCTAAAGGTTTCAGATATTGTGTCACAATTATAGATCTATTTACTCGTTGGCCTGAGGCTATTCCAGTTTCAGAAATTTCAGCTGATACGATTGCTGCAATTTTCTTCGACAACTGGATTTTCAGACTTGGAGCCTCGGCAACGATAATTACGGATAGAGATAGCCAATTCGATTCACAGCTCTTTCAGAGTCTCTGTAACCTCATAGGAGCAAAACGAATTCGTACTACAGCGTATCATCCTGCATCCAATGAAAACAGAACGATGGCACAGGTCATTAAAAAATGCCATAATTTGTCATGCAACGAATGATTGGGTTAGTATCCTTTCAATTGTTTTACTCGGACTTAGAACATCTTTTAAAGAAAATTTAAAAACTACTGCAGCAGAACTCATATGTGGAACAACCCTTAAAATTCATGGTTAATTTTTTTACGATTCCAAATTTTACAGCCTATTCCGACTAAACATCACTCGAAGAAAAAACCATTCCGATACAATTACTTATCGAAATGTTCTCACGTATTCTTAAGAGTTAATGCCTGTAAAAAACCTCTAGATGCACCTTATGAAGGACCATATGAGATTATTAATAGGAATTCAGACGGCGTATTTACAATAAAAATCAAAGGACAACTGTAAGAAAATGACCGAATAAGAAGGTGGAATTGGTATTTCTGTGCGAAGAAGGTCACGCACGTAGCATGCACTGGTAGTCAAAGCAGACCGACGAGTGTTGTTATGACTGGGACCGACAACGATGACCCTACCTATGTAGGTCACTCTGAAAGTCACCGTCGGGTAACGATCGAAAAACGAATAGACAGGCACACTTTGTCGTTGGTCGTCGGCTATGACGGTCATAAACCAGCTCTCGGTTCTTAGGCAGGATTATCGATATACATATACGTATGAATGTATTATTCTTCTTACAATAAAGAGACGGTAAAATCGCAGCCTTTCACGTATAACATTTTTATTTTTCTTTAACACAACCATATACAGTTTCCACAGAGATTAAAACCAGCTTATTTTGAATTAATGTAGGATAATTTTATATATGTGTGTGATATTGGTCGTTTTGTATTCATTGCAAACGTCGCACAGTGTAACGAAATAGGGAAATATCGATCAAAATTAATCACTCGTTTTTCTTCACGTATAAACTTATCCTTCTTTTTTGATGCACGTATATACCCGTATTCTAGTTATCTTTACAATTAATTTTTTATAAATGAAGTTTATTACAATTTTTTTTTTATACATAGCATGGTTTTATTTTTAATCATTTTAAATCGCTTTTATATATGTATATCGGAATAATTTGTGGTTAAATACAAAAATTGGGACTATTTTATAAGTATACAAATGAAAAATTGTTATAAATATTTACTAATTTTATTGTGGGTTAACATAAAATATTGTTATTATGAAATAAAATTTAACGAGGTAAATAAAACAGTATGTAGAAAAAAGATTAAGAGCCAATCATGGTTTACAGCTTTAAATTTTTGCAATTTCCTGCAAGATTTTTCCCATCTTCTATTTAAATCTATGTAAATACATGCAGCAAGTTTG